GCTTCATTAAGTACTTATACAAAATTTTATTAAAATAAAGCCATTTAAACTGGGTGTTCGGATTTATATGTCACTTAGTATATCTATAATCGTTATTTTTATTTTCAATTCTCATGTATTAAATGGCAGAATAGCTTCACCCTTCAATAAAGAGATGTTTATTGTTATTATATACATTTTTGTATACTTATCTTGAAATGATAATGTTCCTCGTGCAAATATTTATCCCTCTCCTGTCCCATCTTAAGAATATAATTTCTGGAACTCGGGAATCCGTTGTCAATGATTCTTCTTTACAGTCTAAATTACAGGCAAAACATACTCTAGGCTAGCCCAATTTAAAGGTTAACTTCGGTGGCTCAAGACCTCAAAGGATTATGCCTTTAAGAAACGTCATTTTTAAGTACTTATTATACACGGTCTGAGAAATAACAATGCGTTAGCAATTTTAATTAGTTAATTGTGAACAAGGAACACCATCAAATGTGGTCTCAACCGCTTACTAAGTTGCTAGCACTGTGCTAAATTTGACAGTCCTATTGAAAAATTATTTCAGTTGAGACAAGAATGTAACATCAAAGTGGATTTTGCTCTGGAACTATATGTTGTTTATTTTTTGCCCAGCTCCATGTATTTAGTACCTAATATAAGTATCACGGCAAAGGTTATGTAATACAAAGCAGTAAGCCACATTCAAATTCAAAGAATATTTGCTTCTCTATTTTAATATGGAACCTAAGTTAAAAAGAGGTGTCCATTTGTGTTTTCGTCTTTGACGACTGGTAGGTAATTAAATGTTAACTCATAGGGTAGAAGGATTTTACCAGAAATTCTGTCGAAAATTGAGTACTAGTCGGTAGATATGAATAATTCATTTCAATTTGTTCAAATCGATAATTCATTGTTTTCTGTGTATATGTAGACCCCAGAGTGTTTAAAATGCATGACACATCCTATGCATTTTTTATTGCATTTTTGGGGTGAATTCAAAGCGGAACGGAAAGGTTCGGTTGGGCAGATTAAGTCCGCTTAAATATTAATTCGATTTAAACTTAAATTTGAATGAAAGTAAACTATAACAGGTTAATGCTCGATTTCACCAACATTTTAAATTTAGACGGAAAAGAAATTATTGAAATGCAATTTGACGGAAGCTGTCAAAGCTCTCTGAGTATCAGTGACTTCTATTGAAATATTGAATAAAGTCGTGAAAAACTAACCGTATTATAAACAAGAGCACTTTTTGATTCCAACATGATACTTTTGTACAGAGAAACAAGACATGTTTCATGTATTTTGCGTTTTCTTATAAATTCACAATTAACAGATCCTTATCGCTTTAGCCAATAGGAATGCGACAAATAATAGGTCGATTTTCCAGCTGTTAAATTTGATAGCACGTTTGAACGTTTGTTAATGCAGGGCTCTCTCGGCTCCAGGGCACGGGGGAAAATGGAAAATCTCTGACATGTGAGGCAACTTGAAGTGAGATGAGATTATAACTGAGAAACTGGCCAAAGGAGAAGCTACTGAAATCAGCCTTTTATGGTCTAAACTGTTATATGGTACCATTTTATATATTCATGTTTTTTTTGGTATGCATTTTGAACTAGTTTTTCACTCATTGTAGAAACATACAGAACTTGAAGCAACTCGGGCTGGTATTGTCTACTGCCTTCTGCTTTGATTTCCATCTTTGAATATGGTTCATTGACAGATTATTGCACGACATGAGAGTTGTTTAATGTTGTTTTGGGAGCAAACATAGGATCAACGGTATTAACATTTGAAACACAAAAACTGCGGTAGTTTTATCAGTAGAAAAAACTATATCTCTGAGCCACAGAAGCAAAGCGAATCTCAGGCTTTCTATTCTCGCATCACTGGTGTGATGAAATGGCAATTTGCGTTCATTTCTAGGAACTAGTTCCTGAAAAAACTGTGCAAAAATATCACAAGAAATATATAAACAGAAACAAGGCAGATATTCCAGTCTTTCAATCGTAAAAACAATTCGATTCAGATTTTTTAACAGTTCCAATGCATTCCATTGATCGCAAATGTATTCTCCCATCACTAACATTATGAGACACTACTGTCAAATTCATCGATACCGTAAACAAATATATTTATATGGAAAAACGCTAAACCATTTAGGAGTTTGTGAAAAGAATAGTTACTGTAGATTGTAGTTTTTTGCAGGAATCTGGTAATCTGGTTTGCTGGCAGATTTTTCATAAATATTTCGATGTCTTTCAACAAATTGCTATAAAGATGAGCGGGGAACCATAGTGAATGACAATCAAAAAGGTCAACTGTAACTGCACGTATGGATGTTGAAAATCTTGAATACTTTCAGTCAAAATGTCGTTGAAGAACTGGATGGAAGTGTATGAATTTGTTGAAATGAGACATCTAACAAAAATTTGGGTGGAAAGGCTATTTCATGTAAGAGTTTGGAAATGCAAGTTTGCAAGTATCCTATAGAATAAACTATAAACACATAACGCACAGTAGGTGATGCTAAATTAGTATAATCACATATGAATTACAAAAATTGGAATAAACATGGATAAACCTTCAGTAAAACTGAAACAAATTTCTGATGTATGAGTTTTTACTCATACATCTGGCATTTTTTTCAATATTTTCTGAATTTTATATACATCTCACATTTTAACAGTGTTTTGTTTTCAATACTTCAATTCTATTAGTTTCCACAAATTTTACGGAGAGGTCTACAAGCCCATTTGATGTATTTAACGGGATCTTTTATGCAGGTACGCTATTATGCAAAATAATGGCGACTCTTTTGGTGAAACTCACCCTTAAGGTACTTTCACAAAGTTGCAAATCGATTGAGCGGAAACTTTTATGGGCAAGCACATACTATGGGGTTGTCCAAGACGGACGCAGGAAAGTAAGCGCATATTAAAATTTGGACAACCCTTTACAGACGTTAGTAAACAACAACGTGAGATATAGGCAAAATGGTCGCTGTCGGAATTCAAGCCCGCATCCTCCATTCCGTCAAACCGACATAAACTGTTATTCAAGCTGCTTGATGTCCCATATGGCGACGAACACGTGAAACAATCTGGATTGGTAGAGTACTCATATCTACAATCACGTTATATTTGCACCACTGTGTGAGGACCTGTATACGATTTTTTGGATGAGCTCATCCACAAGAGCGATCTATTAAACAATAACTTGAGATATAGGAAAAATAAACGCCGCCAGAACAAGGAAGCAGTGTCATGGGTAGATTTGAATTTGCCTCTAACTGTCGATCCCGAAAGTTAGTTGGCAGCTGGTGCTGTAGACAAGTTGCGAAGAAGCGGTTGGTATATTTACTTCGATGTACGAATCATTTTGTAAACTGAAATGTCAGCAACGCACATGCCGCAACTCATGTTGCGCGCTCTTGTCGAAGGCAACAAATTGCAGACTGTTAAAATTTCTTGAACATGCAGCAGATCATGTTGTGGAGTAAATTTGTTGTAACGGGAGCGTAATGAAAGCATAATAAGCCCACACTGAGGTAGCGTATGATGAGTTCGGGTAAATGCGGGCAAAGTGGACCCACCAGATAACACGGAATTCCTATTTTACATCCGAACGATGTGAGGGGTGTCCCAAAATTTGGGTTTATAGCATGACTTACTCTATAAATTGATGGCAGCAATTTGGCTGAAGTATTTTCAAAATCGTGACACTCGGAACATAGCCGAATTGCTCATAGTCATATTGTAGACCCAACTCTTCATAACTGTCTCACATCAACTTTCTCTGTTATATGTATATGTTCGGAAATAGCTTTTTTCTCAGAGCGCCTAACTTGTGCTGAACATAATCGTTTACAAACTGATGACGTCGCCGCACCGAGACGCAGAGCCGACCTACTTTATGTGATTTTTTTCATAGCTTACGTTTACGTACAACACATGTTGCTTTTGATCGCAGAGGTTTTGTTGATGATCAGCGATGGGCATTAAATCTCTGTGGGAAGCCGTCTAGTGCACTGTTCGAGCACGACACGGTATTGTGGTAAAGATCTCTAACATAAAGCTCAAACGTCGCATATAGCAGCAGCACATTCAATACAATCACATTCCGTCCCAAAGGAAGCGAATGCCACGTGGAACGTTCCACCAAAAATGCTGAACTCGATTTACTCACAGCGGAACGGAGATTTCTTATAGATTTTCTCGAGAACGGTGATAGTCTGATACGACCCTCATTTTATTTTCAATGAACTCGCATATGTAGGAATTTCAATACTAATGCACTGCATTTGTAGAACCGAATGAAAGCTTCAAGGGTGCTGTTGTCGATGCTATTATTAAGTTACCGTTTAATATTTAGCTTAACAAAATGTTGTTATGGATATTTGATCCAACGAATTTGAATAGATTAGAAGAAATCAAGCCTATACACTGAGAACTGAATTTGTCTGAAGGCTTAAGTACAACGTGTGCGAGAGAGAAGTGTGCATAGACACATATGTTAGAAAGAGATAGAGCCAGACTGGATAGCGAAGCTCGTCAACGCGACAATATATTACAACTGTTCCTTGTGTTGAGACGTATAGTTTGTTGAAATTACGCGCTAGTTTATTCACTACGCCCAAATAATGGTTTTACTTTAAGCATACACATGTTTGAGTTGAAGCCTCTGGTGCAAAAAGGTGTTAACTCAGATTTTATAGTTCAGAGATAATTGGCCTCAAAGTTTAAACCCTGACATTTTTTATATGTGGGTGCTATGGTTAGTTTTATTATTCAAGGTTATTTAAGACAGATATAAAAGTATCTTGAATAGACAGTTTTGTTAAAAAATATGTTTTTATCATCAGAAATGTTAAAAAGATTGGTGAAAGTCTGACTTGACACCTTTTTAAAAAACGGTTATTTGCTTGGACAGGAAAATAAAATTAGTAAAAATGTGTCAATTCAATGATGTTATTTATAAAAAGTATACTTAGTCTTTTTTTATTATTATGAACTCACAAAGGTAATAACAAATGATCCACAGACTAAATAATCGTCTCCTCTTCTTAAGTTTTCATAAAATCCTCTAAAATTTTCTGGTATGAAAGGAATCTGTTCCTGAATATTGTCAAACTTGTTGGCCCCAATAGGTCGGATTCTATCGACGTTCACTAATAAAGGTTCATTTTGTCCTCTCCTATCGAGATTCCGCTGTTTTCTTATATCAACAATGGTCCAATTTTCTGTTTCATCAAAAGAGTATCTGTACTTGGTTATACCAAATTCCTCAATCTGGATCCATCTCACATCTCTGAATGAAAATTTCTCGTTAGTTGTAGTTTTTTTTCTATCGACGAATCCAAGTTTTCTTGGAAGCTCTTTTATATCAACAAATTTGTCCACCATTCTTGTAATATTGAAAGGTGTTTTTTTTCCTGGCTTCTGCCATGATACAAATATATTGGTCTATTGTATAAATTGATTGGTGCTTTCTGATACACTTTTCAACAGCTGCAAAGTCTCTATCAGAGTCCATGAAAGTATGTCCCACTTCAGGGAACTTATGGTCAATTTTTCTGAACACTCCTGAATTTATTAGATAGTGCCATAGACAGACAATATAAAAATTTTTATTTTGGCCTCCTGCCGAATCACTCCATGCAATTAGATGATCGGGAGCGATGGCTTGATCCTTGATATTCTCCAAAAAGGCCATAAGTGAGCTGCCAATCTCTTCAGGACCGCGACTCCCTTGTACTTCGGTCCAAACGTGGAAAAAGCCTTTACCATTTTGTTGTTGTGTTGATATTAAATGTATTCCTAGATTGTAGAGCCATACTTGTCGTAAATAGAAGGCTTTGCTTGTAGAAATTTTGGCAGGGGAAGCGTTTTTTGTAAATCAAATGTGAGGTATATGATTTGTTCGTTTGCTCTTGCATTTTCTCGATCCGATTTTTGTACGCCAAAGGCTTTTTTATACTTTGCAACATGTTCCTCATTTGATCCTACATCATACAACTGCACGCGTATCAGTCTTTGGAGAACCAAATCCAAAATTAAAATCATTGACAAAAATGTGTCTATATGTAAAGGTAGATACTGGGACGATATTTTCGTTTGCATACTCTTCTACATACAAAGCATAAATTTTGTTGATGGATAGCCATGAAGAAAGGTAGAGTCGGTTCGGATTTTGTTTCGAGAATTATGAGATACTTCAGAAGGAAATGATCTGATGTGCCTATGAACGAAATTGCGCTTTTCTTTGGAAGTTCTTCTGGGTCTGCTATTATGGTGGCCTCTTCCATCTCGCTTAGGGGCAGATCTACCACTAGATACTTGATCTCTAATTAAATCTAGCTTTTTACGTCCAACATCTAATATAGGCATAACTGCTTCCTTACACACACGCCGACTATCTCCTCCTACTTTGAAAGAATACCTGAATGACTTACGGCGATGCCTATGAAGTCCAGAGGGCTGCTTAAGATTGTATGCTTCCATTATTCGAAACAGATAAGCACTTTTTGCATTTTGATCTAATGAATAATGCTCTTCAAATAGACGCACCTTTTCTTCGTTTGAAAACCTGCTGTCACACTTTAAACGACATTTTTCTTTACATAAACGTTTTAAAATACAAGGATTTTTGGCCTCAATATCAATACCTTTATAAATTTTATATGCCTTTCCTTTATTTTTGTTCTCTTTATTTTCATAACGTTTCCACGTTTTCGGAAGAGATTTTCGTTTTCTGGACATTTTTTTGTTTATTCTCATCCTCAAGTGGACTTTCGTTATTTGGTACCATTTCTGTTATGCCTAGCTGCAGCACATCATGTCCAGGAGCTTCCTTGTTTGCCTGAGTCTGGATTCTAGCTTTTTTCATGAAAAGCGGTTCATTGTCTGAATCGGTTTCGGAATTACCTAAAAATATAAGTGATTAATCTTTACAGACGACATATCCAGTAAAACAGGTTGTAAAACTTTGAAATCCTTGTGCGAGTATTTAAAATTCTTTATACTGGTTCATGCAGACAATTTTTGAAGCATTTCTTAGACAGAACACCATTATCATCACTTTCGTCTCCTAAAAATGTGTTAAACAGTTTTTAGTAAAACCTGCAAAAACCTGCATATCGATCACCTTAAAAAGTGATAAAAATATTTGGGCGATAAAATATTACAAAAATTAAGTTACCTGGTAAATACTCCGACCCTGAGCTTCTATATGGCTCCTCTGGGTCATCTAACAAATAATCATCGAGGGGACTTTGTGAAAGACAAGCAAATAATATTCTCCTAGTTCTGCCGCTGATCTGATTATTTGTAAGCTAAAATACAAAAACTGCAATAAATAAAGAGCAAATAATTTTGTGGTATGTATGCTTTGCAATTTTAGATGGCTCTTTTTTACCTTTTAAACAAAAACTGAATTCATTGTGCTACATAATCTCAGTCCAATAAAATACTAAAACTTTACATACCTTATCCATTTGAAAAACAGTCCAAATATTGCAGGAAATAGAAAAATCAAACCTCTCACGAAACGTGTTCAAACGACAATAAATTGGAATTTGAGTGCAACAAGGAGTTAACTCAGGAGTTAACACCTTTTTACATATAACACAAAAGTTAACACCTTTTTAAGTTTACAGATTGAAGCTTTTGATATAGTTAACACTTTTATGAATCTCTGTATCCAAGAACTGAGAGACATCTATGGCCAGATAGATGAACTACCACAAAAATCACGCTTTTAACACCTTTTTGCACTAAAAATCTCAAAAAACGAAAAAACTGAGTTAGCACCTTTTTGCACCAAAGTCCTCAGTTGGGAATTGTGTCGAATCTGTTAATTATCGATTCCGGATCGGTTCATTTTAGGTCGAAATGAAATGTCAGGATCACCACAAATTCTGCAACATTGCATCATTGGTTCGCTTGGCAACAGCGCCTCTTGTACATGCTAAGACAAGCTTTCCACCTTCATGATCATAGATGAGCGATTTTGCTCAGTAGATACCCGTAGTGCTCATTGGGGAGTGTAGTCCCGCTTCGAAGCGGTTTTCACCTGCTAAGCAGGCAGTGATAATTTGTATTGCGTAATAGTATTTGTTACATTTTTCGATCGCTCGCTGTCGTAAAATGTAACAATAACTCAGGATGTGTTGATTTCATTCTTTCTAAAATAAATTAAAACACTAAGTCGCATCACCATTGAAATAAATAATTCTGATCAAAATTCTAAATTAGATGTTAAACAAACCTCCTTATTTGATTTGACAGTAATTTTGTGGAATCCCGTGCGAATATTTTCTGGTGTAACATATTGGCAATGCGGCAGATAGCAGGGCCTTCTGCCTCACTGTCACTAGGCAATGCAGTGATGGCCTTCGCTCTTCAGTCGGCTCCTATCCCTTTGTAATATGTTTTAATACATACTTCTGGCGCTTATCTCTCGTACACATTGAACTCAAGCCGGCAGACAAATTTGGTTTTTCCCAAATGTTTGTACTGCATTGTTTGTCACCAAAATTGCCTACAGTATATTCAGGTAAGAGATAGACCGGATGTAAACAAAAGGTTCGGGTGATTTTCACGCTAACGCCGCCGTCTCGACGTAAAACAGGAGACCTCATTGGTCAATTCGCAATTAAATGCCTATGCCGAGCGGCAGAGCAGTCGTATCAAGGCAGAGTCACATACAGGTTCAGACGTGTTACGTATGTCGTGTGCATCATTGCAATTTGATATTTCTTTGGACGTTTTCGTTTGTTATCTTATTAAGCTGTTGAGTTTGTCGTTGTTATTGTTATACCTTGTTATTGATTGTTATTGTTATCAACTGCTTGCGCAAAATGCCCAGTAGTACAGATACTGCCGATGAAGTTGTAAACTCCTGTAGTCCACCTAGGAAACGCTCTAAAAAAAGACACCTGAGTGCAGAAATGAAAGAGGTCATTTTGAATATATATAAGATCGAGCGCGAGGAGAACGAGACATCAACCATCAAAGAAATTGTTGTGAAGGTTTCTCACAAAGTTGGGGTGTGTCGCGCGTGTGTCAGTGTTTAATGTGTTAAGACAATACAAAATAAATCACACCTTTTCTGAGCCAATGACCAGTAAACATCGCAAAAGTATTGTTAAATCATTGGATGAAGCTGATAAGCATGCGATTAGGAGGAAAGTGCATGAATTCTTCTTTAGGAATGAAATACCTACTATAGATAAAGTACTGCAGGAGGTAAATGGAGATACAACGTTGCCAAATTTCAAACGATCAACTTTCCATGCGTTACTGAAGCATTTAAATTTCAAATGGAAAAAAACGGGGTCGTAATAGTTTACTACTGGATAGAGAAGAAATTGTGCTATGGAGGAGGGATTATTTAACAAAAATTGGGAAATATAGAAATCAAAACAGTAAGATTTATTACCTTGATGAAACGTGGATAAACGCAGGACACACTACAAGCAGTGGCGGCTCGTGAGGTAGTGCCACGGTGCCATGGCACTACCTTGTCTTCTTCAAAAAGAATATTTTTTCAATCTTCAATGTTTTACTTTATTTTCTGCTTTTTCATTTTTTTTTGGTATAAATTATATGAAGTGACAACACTGACAACGTGACAACACCGCAAGCACCCGAACCACGCGACGAACGAAAGCATGCCTTGACCTTGACGTCATCAACTTGTGCCAATTTTGGGCCGGCCCAAATAAAAAGAGAGAAATTTTACTAGCATCGCATACGAGCGACAGAGATAACGCTACCCTACACATTTTTATATGAGGTGAATAGCGAAAGACAAGTATAATTTGTGCCAGGCACATCATCAGTCGTAATTCGTTATCAAGTGATATCGGCGGTGTTTTTGTTCGGTCGGTCGTTTCGTTATGATTACGTCTAGTGCTGATTTCGGTCTTTTTTTACCTGAAAAGTGAAAAATACCTTTTTTGTTTTAGTACGTCTAGTGTTAATGAACTGCTCTGTTTTGTGATCATATTTTTTACTGTTTTATTAAAACTAGTGAAAATGAATAAAATCGGGATATTAAAAAACTCATTTAGTGGTTTTTCGCTGGATCAACAACTGCAAATTAAAGAATTAGGACGGCCAATACCCGATTTAAAAATTGAGAAACAAAGTGGTAGCGGACAAAAATCGCGCTGTCGCAAATTTAATAAAAATGTGTACGATAAAAACAGCTGGATATGTGGTTGTGAAGAAACGAATAAACTATTTTGTTTTGTATGTGTTCTATTTGGAGGTGACGAGACTTGGTCAAAAAAAGGTACAGACGATCTTATACGTATATGGGATAAAATGAAGACCCACGAAAAATCTAAAGTCCATATGAATAATGTTTTTAGCTTTTCTATTCTTGGTAAATTAAATAT